TGATGGCAATAAACATATGTGCGATTTGATTCGGAATCATTTGCAAACTGATTAAATACTTGAACTCAAGCCATTTTTCGAGAAGATTATTTAGATTATTCGCTGTAAAGAGGATATTTTCTATTGCTACATTATAACATTTGATTGGGAATGTTTTTGTATTACAATTCTATGTTTCAGCTTCTATTTGACCAATCATTCTACACTAATTCCAAACAATTTATGCAATAACTTTGAAAAGTCTGTATTTTAATTAGATTGCTTATCATTAAAATAAAAACAAAAAAATCAATGGTAAAAAATGCACCGTATGTTTCTGTCTATTGGTTTGTCGATTGCGAATAAGTTGGACAGTCGAAGCAGTGGAATTCGTCGAATTTTTTTAAAGACGAAAACTCAAAGCACAATATCGAAGTACTTTTGAAGGCGTCGTTCGAGCCTTAGCCTCGGCCACAGCCACAGCCACAGCCTACGACAATCACCACTATCACCAACACCACTACTACCACCACTACGACTACGACTATCAATTCGACGACGACCATAACAACAACAATAACTACGCTGTCAACGACAAGAACAAATACAACGCTGTTGAAACCGCCGAAAAGAAGACGACGTGACACAACAAGTGACTACCAATATGTCAATGAAACAGTCGACGGGCTGGTTCAAAATGGTGAAGTGGATCCGAAGGATACAATGAATGGAACGCATCTGCTGTCGTCCACAGTGTTTTCACCCACAAAACTCTCTCCCATCATCGATCAACCGTATGTGTGCATGAATAAATCTAATGTCGCACCAGATCCAAAGAAAATCTACGGTCACTTTAAGAGAAAGATCATTGTTCAAATTAGGTTTCAAACATTGTTTCTTAAATTCAAAATCGTTTTATTTGGGATTTAATTTCATATGGATTTTACTATCTAAATTTCATTTCGTTTTCCAGGCCCATTAACAAGCCTATCGGTTGCGGGTAATTTACGGACAAAACGTGAAGACGGCATGTTCCTGAATATTTCTTGGAGTTTGGTTCTCCGCCCTACCAATATTGCTATACATACAGTTCTGGCTCATACTATAACACAACAGATGAAATACTTACCGATGAACAATGGCAAACAGGCAATACGCCATGGTTCACAATAAGACGTAATCTTTTCTTGGAATCAACGCTCACGATTGTTGTCCAAGTACAAAATCAAATCACAAATCATACGAAAATTATCACGGTCAATACATATGAAGAGCAGAACCAATCTCAACTATCGATTACTGTCATTCCCGTGATTTTTATCCTATGCGTTATCGTACTTATCATATATCTATTGACTAGATCGAGAGGAGAGTAAGTTCATCTGACTTTGTTGTGAAAGAGAAGAGTAAGTTTCTTTCGACTCAAAAATGGTTAAAGGCGAGTATGTTCATTTTTGGCGGGTCCTCGCGGTTTTCCACGGTTTCCGCGGAACTGATAAGAGATAACAACTTGGTGTCTTCGGCAAAGTTGTAGCACTCGAGCAGAGTTGTAGCACTTCTATAACATTGCTGAAGTCAGTTATCTCTTATCTCTTATCAGCTCCGCTAAAAGCGCGAAAAATGATAAGAAAAAAAAAGTTCTATATAAAATTTGCTTTTTTATGTGCGCGATTTGCGCGCAACTGATAAGAGATAAGAGATAGATGTCTTCAGCAATGTTGAAGAAAACCTCAAGTACTACAACTTTGCCGAAGACACCATGTTGTTATCTCTTATCAGTTTCGCGGAAACCGTGAAAAACCGCGGAGGCTAGACGGGATGCCAACATACTTCCTTTTAGCGCAGATAGAATCAACAGAAATCATACTCTCCTCTTTCAAAATATATTAGAATTTTTTCACATACTCTCCTCTCGATCTAGTCAATAGATATGGTCCATACATTTTGTTCAAACACGAAATACCTGCTTTACACGAATTTAATAAACAAAAAATATTATCAATTTTGCAAAAATAAATGACTTTGGCTAGTTTTATTTGAATTTTTTTGGGTTCGAGTTTTCATACATGTGCAAATCACAGTGATCACAATTATAAACGGATCTCAGTGGAGAAGTTAGTCATACATTTTAATTCTTTAGGCTGGATTTCATGAAACTTTGATCAATTGAATTTACATAGTATTTTTTATTGATGAATCATATGTTTGAAATTCAAACTTTGAATTGACTTTTATTTGAATTGGTTCGAAAAAATTTGTGAAGATTGCTGATTTCAATGCTTGATTATAGCTTCATATGATATGTTCACAGATTCTTTACTCTCACCGGAAATATATATGCAAATTCTTCTATTTGAAAAAAAAATTCTCTCTTCGTCTTGTTTTATTGTATTTACAGTAGAACCTCGATTATCCGTCCTCCCATTATCCGTCACCTCCGTTAACCGTCACACCTTTTCAAGGTGGAAAAGTTTTTTTTCAGTTCATTTTTCAGTTTATTTCACTTGAACGTACGAATAAAGTTGCCAACTAACTTTCATAATCAAAATCAATTGTGTGCCCCTTGTACATTCGCACAATAAGATTTGAAATCAGAGGCTTTGCGTTTTCGGTACACTTCTCGTATATACAAGATTGTCCAATATTTTGGACAATGCACCAAATCTGTTCTCACATCTATTATATATTTTTTACATCACCTTGTTTTTCATCAAAACTAATTAGAAAGTATGGAAATTTTGATTATTTTCTTTTATTTATATGAAAGTCTCGATTATCCGTCTTTTTCGATTATCCGTCAATGCGCTGGTCCGGTGCCTGACGGATAATCGAGGTTCTACTGTATTTTGTTTATTTTTCTGTACTTTTCTGTACTTCTTTATTTTTCTGTATTGAATTCAGTCTAATTGAAATTAATTGAAAATGGAATATTTCAACGGTTTTCTTCAAACAAAATTCGTTTGAATTTAGTTCGAAGTACAAGTGATGTATTGAGCCAACTTCATGCCGAACAGCAACAAGTGTCAATTTGAGTGCATTTTTTCGCAGTGTTTGTATACGTATATGCAGCAGTCGAATAATTATTGCTGAAATCATTGAAAAGTTGTGTTTTCCAAAGGTTTGTATATGTATTTTAATGATTTTTCAATTTTAGCATTATTGTTTCAAGATTTTATCAGCTTTAACCATTCGTGAAAAGGTTTCCAAAAACATTTAACGCCTCTCGTGATTTTTCCCCACAGTAAAACTACAGTAGCAAAAGTGACAGTCACTTTCTGAAAATGAGCAAAAGAACGATGGAAACTAGTGCACGGAAACGACCAAAAATGTCCCGGGATAATCGAGGTTGGCTTGAAGAAGACCAAAATGGAATGACAATTGGTTCAAATGCCAAAGGTTGGCTCGTTGAAGATCGAAACCAAACAGTGTCAACGGCAACTACAGTCGAACCAACAATTGAGTCGCCGTCACCGAAAATTTTCAAGCTGGACATCGATTGTTTTGATGAAATATTCGAGTATTTGTCACTAAACGACTTGCATTCATTTGGCCAAACATGCAAGATAATGCTCAAAGTGACCGGCGAATATTTTAAGCGGAATTACCCAGATGCTACACTTCAAATGGAAAGGTACAGACCTTATGTATACATCAGTGGAGATTATACTTCGTTGCCCAGATTCAATCGATTATTTTCGAAAATCCATTTCGAAGCATACAACCAAAAGCCTCTTCAGTACGTGGAATCGCACATCAACGAATTCGAAGGAATTAGGTGTCTTGAGCAGGTAGAGCACCAAGTGAATGAAAGAGTAGCAAATGCAATCGGTAGCATTTTTCCCAAGCTTGAAACAGTTCGTTTGATATTTGTTATCGTCCGGAAGAACTTATACGATATAATGTAGAAAAAATGTGAAAATCTCAAGCGTCTTCATTTGGATGGTTTGAAATATGAATTTGAGCATCGTCAAGAAATTCCAGGCCCATGGATAAAACAAAAATACCCGATACTTGAACACTTGGAACTGACGCCGATTCCCTCAATTGATGGCTTGACTGAATTTTTCGAGAATAATCCCAACGTTTGCAGCTTTTCCACCGATGCAGAAAGCATTTGGAGCAACAACGATGCAATTCTGACATTCAAAGCACAGCTAGATTTATTGGTGATCACAAATTTCGATGAAATTCAACGTTTGGATTGTATGGCACCATTCTGTAGACTATTAAGTAAACTTTACGAACAAGGATTCTACAAATGTTTGCATATTGCTATGGACAAAATAGTATCTACGGTTGGGGCTATTGGATTGACTTCACTTAAAGGTCTTGAAAGTTTGACCATTTATTTTTTCGATGAAGGAATGTTTCCAGTTTTACCAAATTTGAAAGCATTGGAAATTTACATTGAAAAAATCACGAAATTGATGATTGAACCAGTGAAATATATGAATCTGGCGCGTTTGTCTATTGTGGGTGCCGAATATGTAGATATTTTGCCGTTAATTCAACAGCTACCAAATCTGAAGACACTCCGTTTGCGTTATTCGTGTTATACGCGTTATTCAGAACATGATCACAAAATTCTACCATTGAAAAAATTGAATGAAGAACGCGGAAAGTTGATCAGACCACGAAAGCTTACGATTTATGTTCCCAAGGAGATGTTTCTCAAAACGAAATGGAACGTAAAACATGGAAATGTCAACCTGCCGTTGATTGAAATGAAACGGATTGGTACATGCAAATGGAATGATTATGAGTCATAATTTATGATTAAAATAATATTGATAAATATGCCATAGCCGTAATGTGAGCAAGGCAGCCAAGGGAAGTCATATTTCTAACATGTCATTCGAAGTGTAAGCCACTAAAACTCACAGTGCCAAAAAATATAATTAATTAAGAATTCTATGGGCAATAAGATGTCCACAAACTATACTTAGATTTTCTCACTCTTTCTTTTGGAATAATAAAACTTGAAGCATGACTGCTTGTGTTTGCACATTTGTTGTTTTTCTATTTCATCACCATTTATTTTTCAGGGATTGTTCAGTGCATTATTTAACATTGAAAAATATTATTATGGAAGGTCCTATTCCGAAACGGTCCACACGAGACTATTTTTGAACTCTTCTTCATACACTTGTTCGATGATTGTTACGTTGTAATTGGAATTACGACGATCAATAACTGTTTGTCCGCGTGTATGTGAACCGTGCAATTCAACGGTGGCATTGCACTGATTTTTAGTTCGAATACACCTCTCAGGGAATAAGAAGACTGCGGTCAATAGAGCATCGTACGGTACATAGGAGAGGCGACCACGAAAACGGATTCGTTCAATTTCATTGAGTAACGTTAGGTTTTTGTCATTAGCATTTACATTAGCCAGAACGTTGAATCTCCAATCCTGAGAATGAAAATAATGTTTCCTTTGAACATTTATCAACTAAAACAATGAATATTAATTGATCTTTTGATTTTGAGGTTTTATCGTGTATTTTATTTAATAGAAAAATTGTTTTGATTCAACAAATGATACACTTTATAAAGTGTATCATTTGTTGAATCAAAACAATTTTTCTAATGAATATTAACTAAATCATTTTTGTACGGTAAACTAGGTTCAAATTATTCACGTATTTATTTCAAGTGTTTGGTTTTAAATTCGATTATTTCTGAGGAAATGGTTTAGATTCATTTTTTTTGTCAGAGGTAATGAGCAAAACCAAATTAATTTTCATACCAAGGGAATGTTCAGATTTTGTACCAGGCCACATTCTAACGGGAGCGTTGTAATTGGACAGGTGAGTGAATTTAGTACGATGTGCGCTGCTTCTGGATCCATATAAAAATTGAAATCGGCACATGGTTTGATGCTTCCGATACCTGAAATTATAATTTATAAATTTATTATAAATTTCGAAATCAATGAAGATCTGATATGATAAGGAAAGAAGTTCATTTTAAATGGTTAACTTTGAACTATCATTTGAGTACTGTTCGAGGAACGTTTAAATTATTTCTATTACTTGAATTACACTATTGGACAACTGTCAACTCGGCTTTGCATTGAAATTTGCTCCGTAATATTTTCTCGTTTTTTTGCATTGTTTTGATCAAAATCACCAAAGAAAAATTATTAAACTGGCTAAATTCTACTAAACTTTTACCGCCGTTTCGGAATATATTGAAGTTCAGTTGTCTCACAAAATTTTAAGTGTTGTATTTTCATTGAAAATTTTCCTGTTTTTCTGCGGCAATCAACAAACCACCTAACCTCAAACATCGTTCATTGTTCATACATTTACTGAGTAATGTCACAGCTAAGAAAGTGTACCCCTGATTGTCCATCGGAAAACGTGAAATTTCCAGTTCAGTGTCATTTGTGCAAAGGCTATTTCCATCTGCCATGCTACGATGTTCAAGGAAGGGCCAGCAAAGTTTTTCCCACAAACAACATTGTTTTTTTGTGTGACGAATGTTTATGTGCATCAGTGCAGTCACCAAAGCGCAAAGCACCGAAACCAACCGAAATCAATGACGTTTTGCTAGGAAAACCAGCCGTTGCTCGTGTATCTGGCGAAAACATTAATTTGTCCGATGTGATTGCTGAATTATCAGCTAAAATTGATGTTAACACTGAGACATTGAATTCATTGAAGAGCTGTGTCAGAGAAATGGATTCAACGATCCAAAATTCAACACAACAACAAACTGAAACATGGGCAAGTGTAGTCGCGTCAACTTCTGCGTCGCAAAGTAAACAACAACATAGTGTTGATAAACCAATTACCGCAGCTGATAAGTCTCAAACAGATAATTCATTGAAATCGAAAGAGGAAACTCGTGAATTGGATGCCGAAACAAAGATTGCCATTAAAAAGCGAACATTGATTGTTGGAAATTCTGTGCATCATGGACTTGGTTCGGCAGTTACAATTGGTGCACGAAAACCGACAAAAATTGCCCGTACTCGTTTGGACAAGTCTATTTATGTTTCTCGTTTGGAAACAAGTGTGACTATCGACGATATCACCTCGTACATCAAACAACATGTGTCAGATGTTGACGAGAAGCATTTTTCTTTGCATTTGCTTGCCAAAAAGGATGCCGATTTGAATCAGTACACCTACATCTCGTACCGGCTGCAGTGTACTGAAGTTCTTTATGGTCAATTTATGTCACCCGATTTTTGGCCAAATCATGTTGAATTCGGCGAATTTGTCGAGAAGAAGAAGCCGAAGCCTGCAACACTCGGCAATTTTATTACGAAATCAGCCACTGATTCGACTACCAATGAGTTGGATGACACCGTGGAAATGACTGAGAACGAAGCCAAAGAGTTGTCATCGTCAAAAAACGGGAGCAGCGGAGCAAATTCGGCCCAGCCGAATAAAATCCAACAGCACCAAAAATTCCCTTGCAGGTAACACACAAAAATATAGTATATGCTCTCGGCTTGAGAGACATGATGCTGCACAATTTAATTTGAGCAATTCCATCCGCAGAAATTGTACACAATCGCTCATCACGAGCTACTTCATGTCACCGTCAGAGAGTTCAAACAACACGAATATGTTACCTGCCACAATTACATCAGTTCCTGATCAAAATAACACCATCAATGACAGAATCATTGAACTTGAATACGAAATGCTGCTAAAAATGACCGAACTCGATGAATCCGATTTCAGTGACGACCACATCGATAATTTTTTCCTGCGTGTCAATGATATTCAACAGAAAATCAACCGCCTTCGCAGTAAAAACTCAACAAATGACCAATTCGTTGATCTCATCAGGTTGCTGATCTATTACAACAACATCAGATCCGTCGAAAACAAACGTAACTTCTGCATGAAAGTTGAGCTATCGCTCTACAAAATAATTTGTCTCGTTGAAACTTGGCTCACATCGAATCATTCGTCCAGTGTTTACTTCCCAAGCATGTTTAACGTGTATCGCTGCGACAGAGCGACTGAAACCGAAAAAATTAGAAGCAGAAGAGCGGGTGGAGTTGCTGTCTTGGTACACTGTACACTGAGGAGCCGACAAGTAAATTTACCCGATGATCCAGATTGTGAAGCGGTAGCGGTTGAAGTTATACTGAAGCCAACACCAATTCTGCTGTACCTATGTTACATGAAAATCTTCGATATTGACATCGCCATCAAACATTTTGAAAATATCAAGTCACTCATGAATCGCTTTCCTGCCCACCAAGTGATGGTTTTGGGTGATTTCAACTTGAAAGACATCCAATGGACTGCAAATGAAGCTGAAAATTGCTACGAGCCTATCATTTCAATAGAAACAAGATCTATCTATTTGAAAAACGCGAATACATTTTTGACTAAAATGCTCGGACTGCCGCTGTATCAAATTTCAAACATTAAAAATATAGCTTCGAATGTGTTGGATTCACTATTTGTGAACAGTTCGTGTGAAGTCAAATTGAGTGTCGACCAACACACACTCGTTGATGAGAGCCAACAAGATGTTTATCATAAACCGTACGCCATCGAATTTGAATATTCCAAAGTTGGATCAATGATACGTGCTGAACCCAAATTAGTGTTCAAATACTCTCGTGGAAATTATCGACGACTTTGTCAACAGATTGAGTGCATAAATTTTCAACACGAATTTAGTATTCGCGATGTTCATTCAGCGTTTGACTTCTTCCACTGCACCATGAAAACACTCACAGAGAACAATATACCAAAGGTTTTGGTCACCAATTACCCTAACAAGCCTAAATGGTGGACTCATGAGTTGCAGCATAAGAAAAATCAACGAGATAAATCGTTCAAGCGTAAACCGAAAGGCATTCAAACAACAGAATACATCGATGCATGTCGTGATTTCAATGAGTTGAACGATAAACTGCATAGTGAATACATTGCTGGTGTTCAAAATAATATCGAATCCAGCAGAGTTTTGGAAATTTGCGAAAATTGGCAACAAACAAGCTACGTATCCAAATCAAATGCACAACAATAATGCCACGGCTGATTCACCTGATGATATTGTTCAACTGTTTGCAGATTACTTCGAGACAATTTATGTAGCTGATGAACAACTTTGGAATTTCGACGAAATATTTCAAGAGAGTGCTGATTCTACTGAAATCAATGTGTCATTGACAAGTATCGAACTAGCCATTAACTCTTTAAAGTGGCATAGTGGTGCTGGACCAGATGAGATATCACCGTTTGTCATCAAGCAATGTATCGACGCCATTGTTTGGCCAATATGGCTTTTGTACCAGAAAACATTTGATGCTGGTACTATTCCGTATCTGCTCAAGCTGTCGAGAGTTGTGCCAGTTTACAAAAAAGGCCCCAAAGAGGATGTCACAAATTACCGTGTGATAGCAATCAGTTCAGTCATTCTGAAAATCTTTGAATTAGCAATCAAGCACCAGTTGAGTGCTATCATTGACCCACAATTATCGAATTCACAACATGGATTCAGAACAAAGCGTTCTGTTACAACGAATTTACTGAGCCTGTCTACATTAGCGCACGATGCGTTTCGCAAGAAAACGCAACTTGATGTCTTTTACGGAGATTTTAAAACTGCGTTCGACCGCGTATGGCATCGAAAACTCATCGAGAAAATTGCTCACTTCAAAATTGGTCGTAAAACCGCCAGATGGCTATGCGACTTTGTCATCGGTCGTTTCAATTTTGTGATGATTGGCCAGTCCAAATCCAGATCATACCCGTCGCCATCTGGTGTGCCTGCTGGAAGTGTTCTGGGGCCAGTTTTGTTCACCATGTTTATAAACGACATAAGTGCCATTGTTGAAAAGTCTACCGTGCTGCTGTTAGCAGACGACATCAAAATGACATTGGAAATACGAGGCAATACCATGTCAAACAACACGCATCACCTTCAAAATGATATTGATAAACTCATGTTTTGGTGTAATGCCAATCGACTATTTTTCAACAATCAAAAATGTGCGATTTTGACACTTTGTCGTAAAAAGTCATCCATCATCACGACATACACCATGGGAGACTACTTAATCGAGAGAAAGGAAGAGATTCGCGATCTCGGCGTTTTGATTGATAAGCAGCTTCACTTTGGTCATCACATCGAACAAAAAACAATACAATCGAGGCGCATGATTGGCTGTATTAAGCATTTTTCAAATGGCAACTTTACATACGAAACACAAAAGATATTGTATCTGGCTCATGTTAGGCCTATTTTAGAATTTGCTTCAGTTATATGGAGCCCATATCAGGATATTTATATCAGGGACATCGAATCGATACAAAAACAATTTGTTATTTATTTGTTAGAAAATAGACGTAACGCTACTTCATTCAGACTTACTCCTTATTTTGATCGATGTTAGCAACTGAAAATACAATCGTTAGATTTGCGTAGAGAAATTGCTGATGCAACTCTTGCTTACGATATTTTTAAAAACAATATTAATGATACATTTATTAGCTCTAAATTTGTAAGGCTTGAAAATCGTCGCTCTTTAAGAAATAACAGAGTACTAAGCGAACCTTTATTTGATACTGATTATTTGCGTCAGCAGCCTATTGCACGATTAGTACGTTATATAAATAATTTTATAAGTATTGTAAACTCTGCTCAAACTAGAGACTCATTTAAATTTAACCTTGCGAAAGTGTTGTCATCTCAAAGAGAAAATGTAAATACAAACAACTGATGTAAATTATATTGTATAAATTTAAATTTAAATCATATTCAGCCAGTTTTTTGGCGGTGCAATAAAATTCAATTCAATAAATTTATTATAAATTTCGAAATCAATGAAGATCTGATATGATAAGGAAAGAAGTTCATTTTAAATGGTTAACTTTGAACTATCGTTTGAGTACTGTTCGAGGAACGTTTAAATTATTTCAAATATTTCAAAAAAATCTAATTTATCTCTAAAGAATCTATCGTATGAAATATGGTGGATATTTGTGAATACGGCGGAATATTGTGGATATTTGTGATTATGAATGATATTTAAATGTATTTATTCGGATTTAATGCAAATAATCTGAAATATCTCCAAAATCCACAAAAATCTGATTTATTTATTCGAAATATTCGAAAATATGTCATAAAATTGATGTTTATTTCAAATATCTCAAATATCTCACAAGATTCAGGAGCGTGATATTCCCCTAGGTTTCAACAAACATCAACACTTCGCTTGTATAGTGGAATATTTTGGTCAAAATCATACTAAAATTATATACCTTGATGGTTGCCGCCCAGAACCATGGCTTCCTTAATATTCGTTTTAATCTCAGAGAATGATTTGATAGCTAATGCAATGTTCGTCAAAGGTCCAACGCAAATAAGCGTAATTTCGTTCGGATGCTACACAATGAAAATGGGTTAATTTCAAGTTCTTATCACAAATCACAAACTTACCTCCATTACCAGATCCCGGATAATTTCAATAGCTCTCTTACGTTGGATCAGCGTGTTTATATCGCTTGGGTATTTATCGAGATCCCAAAATTCAACATCCGCAAACCCATTGGCACCGTGAGAACCCCTTTTGATATCACCGGGAATGAGTGCTTCATCTGCACCTTTGTAAATCGGAATCTGTGGATCGGAACGAGTGAACTTCTATTCAATTTTTTCAGTTCATTTCAACCAACATCTAATCACACAATTGATGCGAACCGAAAAATTGGAAAATATTCAAAAATAAACTAATAAAATACCTATAAAAAAGCAAAAAACGTACATCAGTTCGGTCAAAACCATCCAAAATTCGATACGTATTCTTGATGACATTTTCATTTGTTGTATTCCCATTGACCGTGGTAATTGCAAGCACTTTGACGCTCTTCAGTACTTTCTCCGCCTTTAGAATCATTTGCAATGCCCAGGCATCATCGGATCCCATATCCGTGTCAAAAATCACGTAATTCGGCTTTGTTCCACTTGACATGTTCACTTTATCGCTTTATCTTTAGAGATTCATTTATTCAAAAGGAGAAAAAACTAAAATTTCGACAGACTTTTCGACAGAAGCTTGAAAAGAGACTCTTGATTTACCTAATAATAGTGTAGTCGCCGATTGAATGAACGTTTGGACGGATGATGACTCCTTTTATGTCTGATTTATTCTGCTTATCTCCTGACAGTAACATATTCGCAGCTTTTTGCGAAATCATAAACTAATTCGGAATTGATAACGTTAAAATTAGCTGGTGATTTCATACAATTCACACATATTTCGGTAATCAGAAGGAAAATAAACAAGTGGACAGATAAGAATGGTTTACATTCTCATTTTATATTCTTTCTTGACTTTATTAATGCTAACACAAATAAATGATACAGACAATTCGTTCAAAATGACTCGTAATATGAGTAATATAAAGCTGTAGTTTATGTGTGTGTTAAAGAAATCAGCATTGGATTACAAAATGTTATTTTCTGGTTTCATTCGAAATAATTTTTCATTTTACTCTTCAGACTTTTTTCCATAGTCCAGGAGAGTTACCAAGTTGGCGTTACGCATATAATTCTCTCTTTAAGAACAACAAGGATCAGGAATATATATTGAGAGTAACTTAGTGCAGGCTATCCATAATTCACTATAATTTCACATATATTTGATTTCGTCTTACTCTCAACACAAATTGAAAATGATAAGGATGTACGGGAATTATCAATTGAGGAGCGACAATGTCGGTTTCCAGACGAGCGTTGGCCTTTGGGTGCATCCGAATGTAATGAGCTCAGCCTTCTCGTGATTGAATGAGGGAATAGCATTCTAATTTATTCATTGATTTATTTGTTTTCATCCAATAGACAAAAAACACTACTGTAATTACACACAGATAAAAAGTATTCTAAACGTGCGTACCTCAACGTTAGCGTATGATCATCATAACAATACTAAAACGTGTTTTTCCACCTGTCGGGAAATACATGTTCGCTTAGTCATGTAGATTGATGCAAACAGTTCAAATTCATTGAAAAATGATCATCAAAACGATTCAAGTTCTTATTCAAATTTAATCGATATGTAGATATTATGAACATAACATTACCGATTATAAAGCGGTTAACGAGAGTAATGCAACGACGGGCATTACGACAGTGACTATTGGAATAAATAGCCAGCCGAAACGATTGACTCGTTCAGCGCGCCTCACAAACCTTGATTCAGTCATCACCATCGGCAGCATTGTCGTTCTTTTCAGTATCAAACACAATGTGCGTGTGTGTGCGCTAAATTAACTGCTGAAGCAATGATTTTAATTTTCGCGTTTTAATTACAAATTGCGATCGATTGTAGCGCTAAAACCAAAGTCACCAATGGCATTTGAGGTTTACTTAAATCTAGGAGAAAATATTTTTATCGACACCTATATCGGTTCAAATTATAAATTCCGAGTACATTCCTGATAGAGGTGATTCTTGAGGTAGTTGAAACATTCTAGCTAAATCAAGAACAAACGAATAGCAGCCCATTTTATTGACTCAATGATATTGTGAAATTAGTTTTAATCTTATATCGCAGCAAAAAAAAAATCGACTAGAAATCACAAATAGACTAGGAGAATTAATACGAATGCTAGCTAACAAACTCCAATGATAATTGAATTTTATTTTGCACTTCTGATTGATGGTATAGTCATTGGTTTTCCATCTTAGAATAATCTTCACGAACTGGAACATTGACTTTAATACATGCTCTGGTCATTTTGGGTCCATGATTTCCAGCACAGAATCGCCAATCGCGGCCTCCATGGACGATTTGTATTTTTCTTAGGCCATGGCCGTAGCTCTTGAATTCGTGGTTCACCTGAAAATGATTGTTTGGTTTATAGTAGAAAGAATAAATTTTGTGATGAAAAATCCATATTCCACCTACATTGAACCAAATATTCTGTTAGTCTTCTATTAAATTACTGTCTTCGAATAGAAATTCATCAAGTGTTTCATCAGATTGGTTCAATTGTTGTAATTGTTGTACGATTTTGGACAATTATATCGGCAGCAATACCATTCGCTTATCTACAGAAATCGTTTGAAAAATGAGAATTTGTGAATTAATGTGAATTGTTGTCCATGGAAAGGCACATTAAGAATTAGTATAAATAATACGTAATATCTGCATGACTTTAAACTGACCTCAGTCACTGGTTGCAAATAGTACAAAATATTCGCGGTAAAGCCTTCTTCAATCAAGTCAACCGTGTAATGTTTATAGCAGTTGCTGTAAGAGTTGACAAAACAATGCTAATTATCTCCGAATTCCGGCTGTTCTGGTAAGAAATGTACACTGCGTGAACAATCAATGACCCAGCTATTATCATAATTTTGTGGAATTTTTCAACGTTCAAACATTTTCTCACCAGAATGATTTTTCACCAAATTTCTTCAAAACAAATTTTCCGAACAAATCAAATAAAAATCTTTCCATTCAAAAGATGTGCCTGAGGCAATCGAACAACCAGTTCAGTACTAAATCATTGTTGACAAGCTCGTCGGTTTTTTTTGGTGGATTTCGATTTTTTTAAACAAATTTTACCCATTAAATAACGAAATTATTTCGATCTATTGATTTGGGTCTACGCTGGTGAAATTTTTCATTTTTTGCATTAGCACTTACAATTTACACAACAATTCTACACATTGAAATTCACACAAATGACGCAGATTGTTTGTCAACAAATGTGTTTATATTTACATTTGTGTGAATGTTACTGTCCCGGGCCAAGAACTGTCAATGTCAAAGCGGTATTTCAAATGTATGAGCTGTATTTATGTGAACCAAGATGTGAACTAACTTCATCAGTTCCACATTTTACTATCAATTGATTTCAATAGCTTTATTTTTCATGTTTCTGCGTGAAAGTAACGCAGTTGATAGGGATATTGAACATGGACCTGTTTGTTGATAAAACATACTTTATTTATAATATTATTTGACGTTGTAAGATTAATTTGGTTTGATTTAAAAACAATTTGTTCAATTCTTCATTTTGATTGATGAAAATTTCACAACTTATCGAAGAATGAAGTGCGGTGACCTGAGATAATTCAATTAGATAGCTGAAGAGTAAAATACTTTTAATGTGCATGTAATTGCAAGGTGACTATAGTTTAATTTGATAAACTGCACTAGCGATAGAGTTCTTGTTGTCACTTCTGATTGAACATTATCATTGGTTTTCCTTATTAACTGGAACTTAATCTTCTCGAACTGGAACTTTGACTTTAACACATGATCTGGCCATTTTGCACCCAAAATGTCCTGCCCAAAATTGCCGGTCACAACCCCCATGGACGAATCGTATTTTTCTTAAGCCTTGCCCGTAGTTCTTAAATTCGTGTTTCACCTGAAATTTGAAAATCGAACGGTTTGATTTATAGCAGGTCGAATTATTGGTTTGCATTGCAATGAAAAGTTATAATAGATATTCGGAGAAAAAAAATGTTCTAATGCCACTTACGTTGAACCAAATATTCTGTCGATCTTCCACTAAAGTATCATCGAAGATGAATTCATCGATTGTTTCACCAGACTGGTTGAATAAATACACGTGAATATTGTACACTGCTGCACAATCAAATCGGGAACAATACCATTCACTTATCTGAAAATAAATATTTATAAAATGAATCGAATTTTTGAATCAACTTGAGAAACTGTTGTTCCAAACTCAAAATTTGCAACGTGAAAAATCGAAGTAAAAGACAGTCAAAAGAAAAACATAATAATTGCATGGCTTTAAGAATACTAACCTCAATGGGTGGTTGCAAATGATCCAAAATATTCACTGTAAATCCTTCTTTAATCAAGTCCACCGTATAATATTTACGACATTCACCGTAGGAAGTCACAAAACAATGCTGTTTATTTTCAAATTCGGCATCCGATTCTAGTACAGGTGCACCAATCGGTGGACATTCAATGGCCCAGCAATCACCATAATTTTCTGTAATTTGCCAATGCTTGAATTTTTCTTTGCCGGAATGATTTTTCACCAAATTTCTTCCAAATAAACCACAACATATCAAATAAAAGTCTTTCCATTCGGAAATTGTTTCTGAAGTAAATTTACAACCCGTTCTGTTCTCAGCCTTTTTACGCCAAACATGATTTGTTATTATCTCGTTCCAGCATTTGCACACACGACGGCATTTCAACAATGATTTCACATCGACGTAGAATAATATGTGCTCAATCAATTCCGGTGGTATTTCCACATTTTTCAGTACTAAACCATTGTTGACAAGTTCATCGGAATCTTCTGGCACATTTCTCGACGCAATTTTACCCATTTTGAACGAATGATGAAATGATTCCGATTTAGTGATTTGAGTGAACGCTGTAAAAGTTTTTCTGTTTTTCCTCTCACTACGAATTTACACTTTATGTTTAAATAAACTTCAGAAAACAATAGAATTTCGTCGTCTGTAGCAATAGAATTCTTATTAATTGCAATGAATCATTGCTTATCAACAGCAAGTGTTTATGAATACAAAATAAATACATGTATATGCTATTATCTCGGGCCAAGAACTGTCAATGTCAAAATGATATATGCAACTATGAACTAACTTCACGATGAACGTTGCTTTTCCAAATCATTTGTATTTCGCATGAAATTTGAAAGAAACTTTATCCAACGATACCAAACTTGCACGATTAATTTATTATCTGATGAAAAAATATAATTCAATAATATATTCGATTTAACAAATTAACTCTTTTTTGATTTTATTTGAATATTTCCTCACTTTGGTGTAAATAAAATCATAGCAAAAGTACTTTCAACTGGCACAGTAAAACAGCCTGAGATACATCGATGTGAATGTTAGTTAAAATGTCAGGTATGAACTAAAACCAAGCTTAAAATTTAATGAGATTTTTTTAGTAGTCCCTGGATAAGACCCAAGAAATGAATGTATTATTTATAAATACATAAATGGACCGATTTTTGTCATGAATAGATTGGTGATTTTGAAGCACTATAGCCAAAGACGTTGACAAAGAAATGCAGATGTCATCATTTGTTCGCTTGTTTCTCATAAACCTTCTGGAATTTTGGCTTTGACATAAGCTCCAGCCATTTTGGATCCATAATGTCCGGCCCAGAATTGGCGATCACGACCTCCATCGACGAAGCGTATTTTTCGTAATCCTTTGCCGTAGTTCTTAAATTCGTGCTTCACCTGAAAACAAAAACTTTTCAATAAAATAGAAATGTTCATGTCAATGACACGACACTTACATTGAACCAAATATTCAGCCGGGGTCCTTCCAAAATATCTTTGAAAACAAATTCATCAAGTGTTTCATGAGATTGGTTCAATAAACGTACACGCATGTTGTACAATGCTTCACAATCCCACCGGCAGCAATACCATTCATTTATCTAAAAATTTGGTTTTAAAATTGAAACTCGAATATTAGTTTTACCATAAACAGTTACAAATGATTTAAAATAGAGAAAAACCTACCTCAATTGGTGGTTCCTGGTCTAAAATCTTGGTCGAGAAACCTTCTTTGATCAAGTCGATTACTTGCTCTTTGTAGCAATCATAATAAGTTGTGACGAAACAATGTTCTTTGTCTTCAAACTCTGGTTGTGGTGGCGGAAGTGGTGCACCATACGGAGGACATTCAACGATCCATCCACCCATGTAATTTGCTTGTAGATAATCTCCATCATCGTTGGTGTCATAATTACTATCGTTAATGTCATTATCACTGTCGCTGGTGCTGTCGTTCTCACGGTCGCTGTTGCTGTGATGTTCATTTTCACTATCGATCTCAATGACGTTTAGGTTTCCATTGTCGGTGTCATTGTCAGTATCGTTTCCATTGTCGTTGCGATTCATATTTTCATTATCTCTATTACTGTGTGAACTTGCGTTGTCATCACTAGATTCGTGGTCTTTATGATTGGCGCCATCGATGCTGATATTTCCATCAATATCGCTATCGCTATCGCTATCGCCATCAATTTCGCTTGAGCTGCTTTCGGCTTCACCATTGATTTGGATATTTCCGTCGCTATCTTCTCCGCCATCCGATTCCTCGTCTGAGATACCATCTATATTGTCATCAGAATCATTTGAATCCGTATCACGTACATAGTTCCAAGCTGCAAAATCATTTTGCACCAGTATCCAGTGTTTAAATTCCTCTTCTCCCGAATGATTTTTCAGCAAATTTCTCCCGTATAAATTTTTCGCGCAGATCAAATAAAAGTCTTTCCAATCCAGAACGGTGTTCAAAGAAAATTTGTGGCCAGTTTTAGTCTCAGCCTTCTTTCGCCAAACATAGTCCATTATGGTCTCGTTCCATCGTTTACAAACTAATTGGTAATTCAGCCATGATTTTTCATCGGCATAACTCATTATGCGCTGAATTAATTCAATCGGCAAATAAATATCGTTAAGTATTAAACCATTTTCCTCAAAACCATCCGATTCTTCAATTGATTGTAGATTAAATGTTTCTTCACAGCTCATTTTTAACTATTGAATTATTGTTTTTTTTCTTCAAAGGATACGACTATTTTATTCAATAACCAAAACGATCGAGTTGTGTATTATTCAAATTGTTATTTAAAAATAAACCGAACTTGAAAAGAAAAATGCAAATCAATCACTGTTTTACAACGCTACCACTTCATGTGAAGTCTTTCCACAAACAGAACAGACCAATTTTATGAGATGATGAAATTACGACAAATGATTCCTCTTTCCACGAAAATTTTGAAATACATTACATTTTTTTGAACTGTCTGCGAATTAGCAATATCATGACTATGCAACGTCACAAATCAAGTGTCAACGATATACACACTACAAACACAGATTCTACTCCAACAATACATAATGTATTTGTAAATGTGAACGAGTTCCACATTCCATTCTACTTCTCCTTCGTTGCAAATTGCAATCACAGCCAAAGGAAATTAACACAATCACACCGAGTCACACACTCAACAAATACATTCAAATGTATATGTCTGCTTGTTTCGCTCTTTTTAATGTAATTACGTCTGTTTTTCACTTAAATACATTCCAATGAATGTCAATTTTTCACCTTATTGACTCTACTGGAGTCGGATTAAATTATTGAAATAAATTTAATGCTAACCTGAATGCATTTCGGACAATGTTGCTGTCCATCATCAGCAATCACGACTAATTCGTTCAACGGGATTTTCAGCTTCACATGACAAATTTGCACGCCAATACACGAATTGAGTTGAGACCAACGAAACGAAAAAACAACACTCGATACATACACACTCACTCACACCAGAACAATTCCGAACCATTTCACTTGACTTTGGCAAACAGTGACGATTCAATGTTGCCCCTGTCTTGGTGTAGTGATTGGTTGTTTGCATCGGCCGCTTGTATGTAGAATGCTTCTAACGCATCAAGCCGACGGCTGTCGTTCACTTGTTTTTTCAGTTTTACACAGTCTTTGTTTACATTTGTGTGGCCGTCTATCAGAACGTGAGCTGCTACAGCTGATTTGTTCGGGTGATTTAGACGAATGCATGCACAATGTTCACCAAAACGTTTTTCAATGCTTCGTTTTGTTTGTCCCGTGTATTCCTTTTTACACTCACTACATGTCACTGTATAAATGCCGGACTTTTTCAGTGGTTCAATTTTATCTTTCGTTGAGCCTAACAGATTTGATAGTTTATTATCGTTTCTGAACACAATTTCCATTCCATATTCGATGAATTTTTGTTTCAGTTTATTAGTTATGCTCGGAACAAATTCAAATGAAACTCTCTGTTTTTCCGGACTGTCTCTTTGTGAAAAAAGTGTGGTGAGATTCATGTTTCTCACTTTGTTTCCATGTTTATAAATCAATTTGTCCACTATTTCCACATCGAAACCATTCACACGCGCCGTCTCTTTTATGTGCTTGCATTCATTTCGAAAATTCGCAATATTCAATGGTAAACGGAATAAACGATGGACCATGGAATGATACGCTGCCATTTTATGCTGGATTGGGCAGTGTGAATCACTTTTGATTGTGCGCATCGTACTTGTGGGTTTATGATAAACTGCGAATTCCAAATCTCCGCCAATTCTTTGTACTTCCAAATCTAGGAACGGTAATTTTCCGTCTTTTTCTGTCTCATACGTAAAATTGATGGTCTCGACTTGCTTGTTTAAAATGTCTAAGACATTTTCGATCTCATTTTTGTTTATCACTGCCCACACGTCATCCACATACCTATGCCACACTCTCGGTAACAAGTTTTGTCTTTTTAAATTCACTTCAAACGCTGACATGAACAAATCCGCGATAATGGGACTAAGCGGGTTGCCCATGTTGGTACCAAATTCTACCTTGTACACCTTATCACGGAATTGAAAAAAATTATGTTTCATGCACAATCTAGCTGTTTGAATATAAATCTGTCGTTTGTCGTTGTCAATATCCAAATTGTTCAAATGATTTTCCAACACTTCGAGTGCTATGTCAACCGGAACACTCGGGAATAACGACGACACGTCAAAACTTGTCATGATTTCATTTTGGTTCAGTTTCACCGTTTTGACCTTGTCCACAAAATCGTATGTGTTTTTGACCGAAAAACTTTCCCACTTTGGCAATTTTTTCAACTCTGCCACCAGCCATTTGGCAAGTTTATAAGATGGAGCCCCTATATTTGATACAATGGGTCGCATCTTTTTTCCTTCTTTGTGTGTTTTGGGGAGAGCATACATTTTCGGCAAAGTGGGGTTCGACACGATTAATGCTCTACGTGTTCTATCACTGAATGCAACTTTAATTCTCTGTCTTAATTCATCAGTTTCCCGAATCATTTTATTGAGTGGGTTTCGATTCACTTGTTTATAATTGCATTCTTTGATTAAATCGAGCACGCGTCTTTCGTATTCACATTTATCCAAAATAACAACACTGTTGCTTTTGTCGGCCTTTACGTACACAACATCTTTCTTCTTTAAATTTCCAATGATTCGATGTTGTTTTTCTGTTTCACCCGATGTGTGTACTTCACTGTCGTCGATCACTTTTGCAGCGGTTTTTCGAATATCATTCTGTATTGAAGGCACTTTGTACTTCAAGGTCGTTTCAATATCAACCACTGTTTCGAGCAGAGGAATTTTCATTGGTTTTGGAGTGAATTTTAGGCCTTTGTTCAATAAATTCAACTCTTCTTCACAGAACTGAACACTCGATTCGTTTATCACAAAATTCGGTAACAATTCCGGCTTTTTCCGCTCTTTAAGTGACGTTTTTTCGATCAGACACGCGATTTTGTGTTCATGCGTTCTTTTTCTTCTTTCTACCGTTTGTGTCGCTTGTTGCTTCACTTTTCTATCGAATTCAAGCCACTCACTATGTTCACACGCACTTTGGTTACGAGTGAGTTCCAAATGTAAACTGTATAGTTCCAATTCTTTTTCGGCGAGTTCTTTGTACTTGTGTTTTATTTCGAGTTTGAGCCAAACTTTTTCAGCTATTTTGATCGCTGCACATGCTCTTTCATTGCTCACGGCCGCCTTAATTTTTATAAAATTCGGCACAATATTTTTCCGTTTGCAATTTCTCAAAAACGAAATGTCTTCCACTAATGCTCCCACTTTTCTCTTTAGTCGAGAGTAAATGTTTAACTTTGGTTTGGTGGCCATATTAAATCAAATTGAACGAGAGAAATTACTAATAATCTCTCAGTTAAACGGCGTAGAGTCCAACAACATTCACTTAAATACATTCCAATGAATGTCAATTTTTCACCTTATTGACTCTACTGGAGTCGGATTAAATTATTGAAATAAATTTAATGCTAACCTGAATGCATTTCGGACAATGTTACTGTCTGTTTTTGCTTGAGTGTGGTGGAGAGTTGGTGATAACGAACATATGTGTACACGCAATATGTAGAGAATATATGAACACACACTTGTTTCTCATTCAAATTTGCTTACCCCGTACCACTCCGTACATTTCATTTAAATTAAACCTTTTACTTTGTTTACTGATTCTTTGCAGCATCAATTCACAAATTGTTTCGAGTTTATGGCCTTTGTCACCCAGGTTTGGGCCCTGATTCTTTAACATTCCAAAAACTTTCTCATATTCTTTCCACAGTTGATTGATTGGTAATTTTTCAACGCATTCTGAAATGAAAAAAAAAACCATATCATAAAATTATGCATAATGTTCATAACCATGGTTATGAACCCAAAACCAAACAATAACTTTTCAACTGTTCTTGGACCATTGATGATCTTTTTGTGCCAGATGACGTTGTGGGAACGTTACTGGCAGCTTTTGTGCCAGATGATGATGTGGGAACGTGGAAATCATCATCAATATCATCGTCAACATCAAGCGTCGGTAATTGCACTATACAAAAGAAAAATATAAATTAAGATTTCCGATGTTCCAACCGAAGTTTCTCAAAACTTACAATTTGCAGTATAGCCGGAGAGCGCATACACCTATGTAAATCATACACATCTGCATGCACTCTCCGACTATACATGCGACGACGTTGCGCTAATTACGGCATTAGCCGAATTAGTCGCGACGTCATGCGCATCCACTCAGTCACAACACAACCTTCAACCAAAGAACAATGAATAAAGAGTATATATCCAAAGACATCAAACAACTGTGTTTATTTCATCAATACATCATGCTCCTTCCATCACTATAGCAGGAGCTGGCCCTAATTCACGCAGATGATCCCCAAGCGCGACTCCACACTTAGCTTCTAAATGTGACACCTTGGTAAGTGTGAGCATTCGTTTTGCGAATAAGCGACAAAGAGAATGGAAACAAGTGCGCGTGTGGTAGTGAGCAGCCTGATGCGATGCTTCTCAATGTAGCGACTAATACACGCGCACTTGCTTTCACTCTCTTTATTGCTTGTTCGCACGACGAATGCTCACACTTACCAAGGTGTCACATTTAGAAGCTAAGTGTGGAGTCGCGCTTGGGTCCTGATGATGTCGCTGAGAAAAGTAAAAAAATTTAATTGAAAACTTAAAAAAATTCATGAACATTTCAATAAACATTTGTTCTTACTTCATCTTGGGCTCTAGCTTCTGTTGCAATTTCATCTTCTATTGCAGCTTGGAGAGCTGCTCCTGCTGCCACCACATTTATTTTGCACTTCAACAAACTTCAAATACGAAGAAGAAAATCGATGATAAAATTAAATCAAACAAATTCAAGATCTTTTTATTTACCCCTTCAATTCCCATTGCTTGAACTTGTTGATAGATATCCTTCTTGTTCTCTTTTCTTCGCGGCTTCTTCTCTTCGGCCAAGGCTCAGGGGCGAAGGGTTGCAAATTTCGTCTAAAACTTTGCAGAAAACCTTACTTTCCTTTCGGAAATGCGCAACCAAATTCTTGATGACATTGGCATTCTCAACAATTGACGCCGTGCCGAACAGTTGGCAAAGCATTCTGTTTGTTGAACTGAAATAGAACAAACAAATAATGAATTGTAGTTATTACTACTTACTATTCCAGATAGCTCAACAATTCAACCGCATGCTGAATATTGTTGTACTCAATTTTTTTCTTTTTTGAGCCGAAGCCAGAACCTCGCTTAGTTTTTGGCATGTTTCTCTCTTTTCACTTTCCTTTATAAATTTTATTCGCTTTTGTTACTTTATGAATTCGTTTTTTATTTTTAACACTTCGAATAATTTCACTTTGAATAATTTCGCTTTGTTCTTTGTACTCCACTCGAACTAGCAATAAATGCTATTGAGACCAATCAAACTGATACAAAGAACAACTTCGATTTGATAAAAAATGAAATAAATTCAATAAAGACAGTTATTAACCAACAGCAAACAACAATTACCCGACACGAAACCACTATTACCCGACACGAAACCCGCTTTGTTCAACCATATATTTATATGATGACATCCCCTTTATACTAGGAATAGAGTCTATTCAATAGACTGTTCACGCTGATTGCAAACCATACTGTTCCAGTCGTTCGGCATTTATGGATCTTCGGCTCAATTACGAATCATACGAGCCTACCAACTTAGTACGGCCTTGAAGCACTACAAAAGAAATTTTGACTTATTTGGTTCTGAATTTAATTAAAATTTACCAAACTAGTATGTCAAATCTAAATTTCAAAAGTTCTTTTGTAGCTGACGGGTGTTTATACAGACCATGACAATGGACAGCACGTTGCCGCACTGTCAAAGCTGTCATGCCATGTGTTTTCATAAAACTTATAAACACCGGTCACGATTTTAGCATGGCTTACCCAATTAATTGAGTTAATATTGAACCAGTTGTTTCAATTTGAATTACGTTAAATAAATTCAATATCAATTGTTTGAAATGAAACTCACAATAAAGCAACTACAACTGGTTCAATAGAAGCAATCAGTTACTCATCGGGACTTACTCAAGTAGTCTGGATCGTACTCCACGGTCTGATTCGTCGTGTGCCGTCCGTATTATTCCTCGAGACCCTTGCAATTTTTTAAAAATAGTAGCTTTATTTCTTAAACTACTGCCTGAAAAAAGTCGCCGCGATGATATGATCGCGAACGAAAAATTTATAATTATCAAGACGAAATTTTTAACGAAAGCTAACTTTTTCGAAGCGACATGACGGCAAAAAAAAATCGCAAAAACTTCATATTTGTTGAAATTACAAAAGAAATTGATAAAATAGATATTCTTCTTCATATTAAGAAAAAGACACTCAAAAAATCACACTGAGCTCACGGACACCAATAATAAAATAACTAAGAACATTTTCACTTCACGAAAAAAAAGCACACGAGAAATAAATATTCCAAACAGGGAATAAAGAAAGAAAACAAATGATAGATACAAACGCGGATGATAAAGAAAACGCGCCAATCCCAAGATCACCCAACCAACCGCCCATTAGAAGACAAGAGAAATACAACAGAGGAATAAAAGTACTTACCGAATTGAATGCAGTCCACATTTTTATAAAAAAAACACTTTCACATAACGATTTAAAAACGCGCACTAAACACTGAGAGGTAAAGAGTTTAAGGAGAACGGTCGAAAACAAACAGATCTGTTTGAATGCCCGTCCGTACCAAAAACACTCACCAAACTACAAAAAAAAACACTTATCACTTCACTACACTGCACTTACACAACATTCTAACTTACCTGCCTGTGTAAAAAAAGTTTATATAATAACCTGAAATTGGCATACTGTATAGGAAACTATAGTGAACTATATAGCTATCCCTTTTCATTTGACATTTTTCCGCTCAACTCGACATGGACGGCACACGAACGAAAAAGTGTCTCAAAAAAGTATTTTCTACGCGTTTCATGAGTTTTTATGATGTTCTAAACCAATTTGGCGGAAAAAGTTTTCGGGACAAATTCTTATACTTTCTCTTAAGTGTTAAGAAATGTGTACGGAAAAGTAAAATAATTGCAACGCTAACATTCCACCAGTAAAATTTTAAATTACTAAAATGTATTATGGTTAGTTAACAATAAAGATAAAGATGAGAGGAAAAGTTGAATGTTTGGCAATATTCAAAGCCTAATTGCAAGTAATTATGAAATTATGTACACGTGTGAGGTGATACACCAGATTAAATGGCGATGAAATACGATATATAAAGCAGCACTGTTTATTTAAAAACATCATATATCAACCATTCCACACGAAATCAGTTAAGAATTGGATCGACCCTCTGCGAATTGGCTGAAAATTTGCATGGAGTTTTGTTTTCGGTAGAAAACGATAAAACCAAAATCTTAGGGCTGTAAGTGGTCCACATTTTCGAGTTCACCCAGTGTAAATTTTTCGGAAAATTGAAAAAATCGAAAAAAAGGGTTTGCGCCAACTGAAATCTAACTAAGAAGTAGTTGACACATTGCCAAGATCCTGGTACTGTTGGAAAGGTAATCGATGGGGCTACAAAAACTGCCTAGTAACCCAC